GGAAACAGAATAATCAGCTTACTTGTCTTCTGCTTTATATTGCTCTTCATTAATTTTGAGATTCTTAAAATTGTTTGAAAATTAACTATGAACTATATTTTGATTTGGAAACAAGTGCCTTTACTTAGAGACCAGAAATGCAAAACATACTATTAGGACAAGCTGTATCTGTGATGCTTATATTAAGTATTAAAATTCAAGAACTACTGCACACCACAGATATACTGAAAAAGTACTGTAATTAAAATAGAGGCCAATGACCGTAATGCTTATCTTGGCACAAAGTAGGACATTGTTTATGATGAAAGCTGTTTAGAAAGTTAGTTATTAAAAAACATTTGCTAAACCAGTATTATTTTAAACAAATGTTAAAATCTTGAAATTTATATAAACATTTCATGGAGGTGTGAATAGGTACCTATTTTTCCCCCATGATATCTCTTGATCAGACTGTATGAGCCAAGGCATGTGGGTGGAATTAGATGAGCCTGTGGTAGCATACGTTCCCACGTCTGTTCACATCTCATTTTTGCTTTTCCTTGTCCCAGGATATCCCCCACTTCAAGCCAGAAATGGGGCAATGAATCCCTTTCCTGCGTTCCGGTTATTTCATGCTGCCTGAGGTGCATCATGGTGAGCAGCAAGAGCAGAGGAAGAATTCTTACTATCTTAACTCCTTAGTTCAAGCAAATCTCTCAGAATAGTTGGAAGATCTGAAGGAGTTTGAACATGACAGATTCCAGCGGGATGTAAGGCCAGAGAAATACGCAAGTTGCTTACAAGTCCCGGTGGTTTTTTTTCCCTAAATGGTCTGTGATCAAGCAGTCTAATAATTCATGTACATAACTCTGCTACATATCAGATGTCAAATATTGCCTATAACACAAATATATTCTTTAAAAGGAAAAAAAATGCAGAAGAGTCATTTTAATAGCGCATCCTGAAATATATTCCCCAGTATGACACACCAGTACATTTTAAAGTTCTCCTTATGATTGGGCTAACAAAATAGGCTTAATTCTACTTGAGAAAAGACCTTCAGGAAGCATTAAGAATACTGTATTCTCCACATTATTTAATAGAAAATAGTCTCATCCTAGTAGCAATAGGTATCTTTTCCTAACAGAAAGCATGCTGAAGAATAAAAGCACACTTCAGCTAGGCTTTTTATTAGGTAGCTTTGAAGAGCAAGTCTTAGTTTGCCTCTGATGAGTTGTTAACTGAAGTGAATTTTAATTGAAAAATTAGATAATTTATAAAACAGAAAAATACTGGTTTACAGGTAATCTGAATGGATTGCAGTAATTCCACACAGGATTCTCTGAATCAGAGTACACTAAGATTTATTTATCATCCCTCTCAGTCAGCTAAAACTGAACTTTAAGTATGAACAAAGCACCATGTCACCAAGTTGGTTAAACTCTTGGTATTTGTTAAGCAATTCAGTAAAAGTTCAACCAATTTGGAAAAAAATTCTGAAAAATATTCCTCTTTATGAGCAAGACATTGATTCTAGCAGAAACACACCAAAACCACATCTGTAAAGCGCACTCACTGATGATACGTACGTTTGCAAGGCTGCATTGGTGGCATTGATGAGGTTTCTATCCGTAATCTTCTCCAGTATTAACAAGGCACTAGTTTCATGACCCTTAATAAAAACCAAACATCTGTCATGTAACAAATACTCTTCAAAAATTGCATTGAATGATTTAAAGTAACAAGTTAATATTTGCAAACAGTGCTTGATAACATAAAGTTCAGCACTGGTAAGTCAGACTATGCACACACCTTGCTGCAAGCCAAATGGAGCGCTGTGTTTTTCGAACTGTCTTGCAAAGTCAGATCAGCCTTAGCACTGCTAACCAGCACCTCTGGGGAAATAAAGAGGTTTATTAACTAAAAGTATATTCCTTAAAGTCTTAATGGCTTACATTTGTGCAAAATGAAAAGGTAATTTTGACAAGATATATCCACAAGAACATTAACTATAAGGCAACTTTACCCACAGTAAGATTAACAAACTTAAGAGCAGAAATATATAAAGCTTTCTCTTTACCAACTGTATTTGTTTGTCCATTTTCTGCAGCCATCATTAAAGGTGTTTTCCCAGAAGAATCAACAGCGTTCACTTGAGCATTGTGACTGAGCAGAAGCTGTAGACACTCAACATGATCTGTAAAAGCTGCTGCGTGAAGAGGAGTTCTACAACAGATCAAAAGACAATATGGCCATGTTCAGCCATGCTTTCTACTTTATTCAGAGAGACATGCTGGCTGTAATCCTGCAGATCCAAAAGATTATCTTTTGTGTGAGGAGGGCAGTCCCTCTCACTGATCCTTTGAAATCAGTATTGCTGGAGTTGTGACTGCTGCCTTTAGAAAGTCATCTTCAAGTTTCAAATAATTCCCTCTACGTCGTTTATAATAGAGATACAATTTGATTCAGAAAAATAAAATATGCATAAAATACTACCCACAAAGTGATACAAACAATTTAAAACATGCTCAAACTTGCCTATATAATAAAAAGTCAATTCAAGTTTATTGAATCAGAACAGAATTTTTAAACATCTAAAATTTATTTCTAGCACAGAATGAAAAAAAATAATTTCTTCAAAGAACAAAGACAGGGAGAAGGAGGAATTAATGTAAGTGGCAAATTGAAAAACCTCAAAAGATTATAGAATTTAGCAGAGCCATTGCAACTATTACGTTACAAACATTCCACTGTACATTTACACTCTTACCTTCCTTTTGAATCTGTTGAATTTACAATACCAGCACCTAGTGTATCAATTAACATTTCTGCAGCACCTTCATTGTCATTTATCCTATAACAAATTAAACAGGCTGTTATTTACAGAATGATAAATCTTTTGTTAAATACAGCAAAGAAATCTATGAAGAATAATTTTGCACTTCCTTACACAGCACAATGCAACGGACTGAAAGAATTTCCTTCCATTTTCTGGAAAACTTCCTGTTCCAGGAGGAGCTCTACACAACTGTCATGACCTAAAGCAAATGTAAAAGTTAGGTATTAATAAAAGGGAAAAGATCTATTATGGATTACAACAAAAAATATGTATCTGAATTAGATTAAGCGATATTTCACTTGAAAGTTTCAACCACACAATGGTTATATCTGATAGGGCTATGTTTAGGAACGAAGACATTTTTAGAATCCTGAAAAATCAAACTGACATTTAACACTGTAAACTTTGATTTACAAATTGATAAATGAGATTTAGAATGAGATTTAGAAGGGATCTCATGCTGTCTGAAGAAGAATCAGAACACTTCATTTAGTTCTTTACACCTCCACGTTTCAAACTGTACATTCACCACTTCGTCTACATGAAAATGTCTCCACCATTTGAAGGTTACTTTTGTTCCACTGTTTTGCTAAACCCAAAGAGAACCAAGTCGATAGTCATAACAAAAGCTTAAAAATCATTCCTCCCAAGGCTCCCGGTGAACGTTATTTTTTTGTGATGTGCGGCACAGGTACTATGCTGAATTTCTTGAAAGACTCCTTGAGACATAAAGCTAAGAAGGCAGTTTACAACAAAAATGTAGTATAAAAATAAACACCTCATATTATGTATTAGGTGTTAATGGATTCCCCCTCAAGATATCATGTCCGTCATATTGTCACATTGACTAACACGAACTGAAAGAGGACAGACTTTATATATTGCTTGTTTAAGCAGTAATAGTTTCTATCTCAATATCAACAAATACATTTAGATCTGTATTTTAACTTTAATGTATTTTACCATTATAGCAGGCCCAATGCAGTGATGTATAGCCGTGATTGTCTGCTGTTGCAGGTACTGCATCCACAGATGTAGCTGACTGCAGGAGAGCTCCTAGAACACCTATATGTCCACATGCAGCTGACAAATGTATAGGGGTTCGCCCCCTACAGTCTCGTAATAAGGACTTAGCACCATGTTGAAGCAATGCTTCCACACATTCCTCATGCCCAGTAACTGCCTGTGAGAGAGAGGGAGAGAGCAAACAGCAAATTTGCAAATATTCATGTGTATAAACCAAGGTGTATAACTAAAGCAAGCAAACTTCAGGCAATTTTCTACATTTTTAAGTAATAACAAAATAAGCACAGTTGTTATTTTTATTCCTGGAAACAGCCATTTTTTGTAAAAATAGCAATGTATTATCATATTGATGAGAGAATAATTTTTTGGAATAAGACTGAATGAACTGCTAATCTCTAGGGCTCATTTTACATTTTACAGTCTTTCAAGAAATTCATTCTTACTTAAGACTCTAAAAGTCCAAAAGAATTCTGAGTGTAAGTAGCAAACAGGCAAAAACTAGCCTTTTGAAAGCAACTAAAAAGACAATTAAAGAATGGCAAGATAAGAATAATGAGAAATTCATTAACACTACACATTAAGTCTGTATTTGAAATTAGTATGTACAAAACTGGAAAAGACAGAAAAGGAATATTCTCTTACCCCTCTATGTAATGCTGTCCTTCCCCACTTATCTTTGGCATCTACATTCGCTCCTTTGTTAAGGAGTGAATAAACGCAGTCAGTGTGCCCATTGAGAACAGACAACATCAGAGGAGTCCTAAGCAGAGAGTGAAATAAAGGGTAATCTCCACGGAAATTTAATAGACTAGCACTCAGCTGAAATAACAACTATTATTCTTCTGGACAACGCTGTTAGCATCAGTGATCTTCTCTAACAGTAACTTCACTCCAAGAATGCCACTCATATTTGCTTTTTAGATTCAAGAAAAGAAATTAATACCCCCTAATTCAGAAGTCCTGAATAAGTTACTAGAATCCATTTCTTTCAGCATCTGGGCAATAAGACGCATTTTAGATTCCTCCCAACTGAACAGGAACATTTTTCACCACCAACATTATGTTTATTGTAAAATACACAGTCTCATTTGTCCTAGTTCAAATATCATCTCCCTTTAAAGTAATAAATTGAAAATCACCAATGTAATGTATTTAGTTTTTCCTCTTCTAAAATGCAATAACTTGTGAAGAACAGAATGTGTATCTTTTAAACTCACTGTCCATTTCCATCTTGAATGTCCACTGCATTCTGTGGTTCTGCATTTCCTATCAATAGCCGCAAACATTCTGAGTGACCATTCGTAGCTGTAAAATGTCACAAAAATACCATTTTTACGTTAATTGCCGTTGAGTATACAGCTCAAACAGAATGGTTAACCTGCTCAGACTAAAGACTCTTAGCTACAGCCCACTGTACAGCTTTACCATTGTTGTGACTGAAATTAAAAACAAAAAATATGAACACTAGAAAATGATGTCAGAAATCAGGCATTCTCAAATGTATAGTATTAAAAGTAATTGATTCCAGCTGTCAATTGCCAACAGGTATTTGTTTTTTACATATAAATGAGGTTGCACACATTAGCCATAATTAGAATATATGCTTATACATAATCCACAAGAAGGAATAATTAAATAGTAATTAGCATAACTTTTGCTTGTTTTAAGGCACGGGTAAACACATACCCAGCCAATCATACACAGATTTTGTTAGTAAGTGCAGCATGTGCATAGTTATGAAATAACTGAAAGCAGATTTAGAAAGGGGAGAAGGAAATGTAACGCATAGAAGTAATTAACCAAACAGTTAAAAAAACAGAGGAAGAAGAAAAGAAACAAAAAATTGAGAAATCACATTTAAATGCAACTCATGAAAGATAAACGACTGCTTGTTGGAGGGGAAATTATTTCTGACATACAGCTGCTGTACCCAGTCTGTGTGACAATTCATGCTTCTCTAGCTGACAGAAATGCTAACAGAAGTTAGGAGAAGCTAAATCAAATAGAAGAATACAGCTTGTGCTCATGGCCAACAAATTAAGTTGTTAGAATAAAGATGTTTTGTACATAATGCTCTTTCTACTGCAACATTTCTGTAACAATATAACTATAAATGTCAATTTAAATAAGCCTACTTTCAAAGAGAGGAAACAAATAAGAATATTGTATGAATGCTAGACTTTGGGAAAGGCAGGTTTATAGAAGTTTTCTAGGAAAGGCAGTGAGAAAATATTTCAAAATAACAGCAATCCTTTGCAAAACACTCAGGAGTCATTTAAAACCTTGGAAAAAACCCAAAGTATCATTTTCATGTCTCTTCTCAAACTGACGGAATTCTCCAAGACTCCAGTCATTTTTAGAAGTATTTTACTGCCAAGACAGGCAACACAAATCATGTATCTAAATTTGGGCCTACAGTTTGGGCTGTGTGAAAGACGAGGAGAGAAACAGGAACACGGCATTGACACCTGTCAGCACAGCTAGCCTAGCTAGCTGAATGGACAAGGACAGTGCACCCTTCTGAGAGCAGCGTGGAACAGCACCCCTCAAGCAAAACTGTTTCCTTGGGTTAATACTGGTTTCTACCCACAACTGCTTTGTTGCGCCTTTCTCAGCATAGCATATATCTTAAAAGTCATCACCTATTCCTAAACATCATTTCTTAGAACATTAATGATAGAGACTTCTAAACACAAAGATGATCCACTTCAAAAGAAGCCAAAATTTTAGAGGTCAGCGGTCAGCACATACCTGCAGCGTGTATTGGGGTCCTCTTTACAACATAATCTTTCACCAAGATTGATGCTCCCTGATTAATGAGCACATCTACACATTCTACATGTCCCTTAAATGCAGCAAGATCCAATGGTGTCCTTCCATTATTATTCCTCACATCAAGGTCCAGCAGCGACTGTACCAGCACTTCCAGAGCTTGATGGTGGCCATGATAGGCCTACAACAGCAAGAAAACTCTTCAGTTTTCCTATCCTTCACATTTTTCCCTTTCTTACTAGGATTACATAAATGAAACTATGAAGATAGTATTGGAAGAGCTACTGATGCAGCATGTATGCAGTTACAATAGTTACAACTAATTTAAAAAAAACCATGATTTCAGCAAGAAGGTTGGTGGGAGTTTTCCATTATATCCTTTCAGTTGGCAACTGAAACTACTTGCAGCAAATGGTCTGTCTCCAATTTGTGTAACTACCAGCATTTTGAATACTGCATGTTTCGTAACTTTATGTTATAGTTACATCACTCTCAGATTATTTGAAGTGAAGAACATAAACTTAACTAATTCCTATTAGGTTTTTTAATAAAGTATTTAAAAAAGGAAAAAGCCAGTAAAATTTGTAAGTAAAAAGAATACAGTACAAATAGTTACAGTTAACATAACTGGTAACATAGAAGGGACTTAAACAGTTAAGAGATCAGAATGGATATCCAAGGATAAAAAAAATAGCACAGATAATACTCCGTAGCTATGTGTGAAGACAAAGTGTCAAAGTCAGTAATGAAAATAAACATCTACAACTATGGTTTTATAATTTCCATGATAAATTTTAAATGTATACTCATTGATACATAACCTTTGCCTCCAGACAAAACTCATTTCCAGGAACAGGCTCTTTAACTGCTTTCATTTACCAGTATTAAAGATTACTTTTTACTTTGGCCATATATACACAGTGCATAAGACAGTCATTATTCAGAAGGTACATTGTGGTTTTTCAGTTACGAGAAGTCCAGTGAAAAGATGAAAGCTACACGTTGAGCTGGTTACTCTGTATTTTGAGTATATTTGTATAGACAGTTTCATCAAGCGGTCTCTTACAGTGCTCTTTGTGCAAATCTTTCTTAGAGTATTAAGAACAAACATTTCTCATACTAAACAATGATGATAAAGTCATCATTACTTATAGAACAAATCTTCTAAAAGTTTCTTTAGTATAAGTTAAAACATAAATTTTGATTAGAAGATTCCAAATGAAAGCTGTTCCATGAAGCAAGTTTCAAGTGAAATGCAAAAATCACCCTGTATAACTCATTTGGGAATATCATGTATGTATTTTTGCATTTCACTTATTGTTATTGACTTATTTTAAAAAATCCAGAATGAATAAACCTATGTCAAGAACTGTTTGCAATTAGATGAGCTATCATCACTAAAGAAAGACTTACAGCTAAATGCAGTGGACTTATAGGTGCTCTGTTGTCTGAATCATTCAGCATGTCAGTACCTGATGTTTCCATTAGCTTAGCAAAGAGAGAAAGCCAGAGTGAGTGCAAAAACCCCACACATTTAAAAATATTCAGCAATAATTGTTACAGTTTCCAGTATATACAGAATGAAAAACAAAGGAAGAAAGATAAAAAGAACAATATAGGATTACAGTTATCTTTAAGAATTCTAGATTCCCTTCAACTTTTTAAAGAGTTTGAACTGCAATGACTACAACCCTTCCCCCATATTAATCTCCCAAGCAGAGTTATTTAATTTTGTATAAGAAAGCAATAATTAATTCAGAAACTAATATGAAATTATTATTTATACTGAAGCAGCCATATGAAATAATATAGATGAAATAATATAGATGAAATAGCATACAAAGGGAAGACAAGGACAGGTGAGAACAGCTGTAGTAGGAAAAAAACCCCCACAAAAACCAACCAACAAACAGGTAAGCATTTAGATTATGTGAAAAGTCAGCAAGAAAGCAATATGAAAAGTCAGAAGGCAAAATTGATTTCTCAGAACAGAAAAACATTTCCCAAAGAGAAGAAATGGACCCAAAAAACAGGCACAAGAGTTATAAAATAGGACTAAACTATCTATGGGTATACATTTCTATTTGTTACTTTCAGCTGTGTTCTAAGTTTTAATTCTGGGTCTTTTTCAAGATCACATTTAATTTAGTACACTAGTAGAATTAAAACATTCAAAGTGTTTGAAGAATACCAAATACATTCAGATCACTAAAGTTTTCATTATCACACTTTTATAACACAGTTATACAGATGTTTAAATAATAAAAAAAGGCTTAAAAATACTTTTCTATTTTACAATTCTGAATTGCAATTAAATCTAAATTGCAATTGAAATTAAATAATACATCTATGCATTGAAGAAGTGGCTGAGTCTAAAATAAAGTCTCAAAATAAGCAGTATTTTTAAAATTACATGTTCCCTTTTGCTGTACAGTGCTACTTTAACAGTGATAAATAATACACACTTACAACATCTAGAGGCGTTTCACTTGCAATCTGCAATTAAAAACATTCAGAATTCATGTTTGAATAAATTTGAATATAAAAGTAAATTTGTATAAAAATACTAAATGGTGTAACACACAGAAGATAAAATTAGCATATCAAATAACATACACATTTTTGCAAAGGGATTAATGAAAGTCTACCTGAGGCTTTCTTATCTAAAATCCTATTACGTGACCATTATACGATCATGTGTTACTATAACTACGTGAACTATTTTT